CGCACGCCGCCCTGCTCGGAGCGCCCAGGTCGCCTCCGGCCAGCTGCCCAGTGCCCACCAGGTCCCAGACCCAGGCCTTGTGCCTGGCAGTGGGATGGGGACTCCCTCAGGAAAGTGCCTCAGCCCCCTGACAGCAGCAGCCCCTTGGGTGCAGGCTGGCCCCCACGCCACTGCCCACCCTCCACAGCCCCCGCCACACCTCCCTGCTCACCGGCGGGCCGGTGACGCGTCTTACCCGCCGAGCACATGACCAGCCTTCCGCTTACGCCAGCTTCAAACACAACTCGAAGAAACTCTCCCACAAAAAAAAAAAAAAAAAGGAAGAAAGAAAGGCAGAAAGTGCCGGGCGCCAGGCGTGTTCGGGGGGAGCCCGCACACACGCACGGTGCTGCTGGCTCACACATGCCACACCGGGGCCAACAGCAAGCCCATCCTTCCTTCCTCCAGGCTGCCACCCGAGAGCCGCCCACTCCGCTTCCCGCGAGACTACGGCTCCCACCGTGCCGGGCAGGCCCTCCGGCGCCTGAGGGACCGCAGCCAGGCCTGGCCCCCCAGGCCTCGCACGGTGCTCCCCAAGGGTGGGGAAAGCCAAAGGCCCCGGCACCACAGGCAGTGCCGTCCAACCCCACAGTGGCCGCCGCGCGGCCGAGAGTGCGGTCCCCGACTCCTGCCACTCCAGGCCCATCAACACAGGGAATTACATAAGTCCACTCCTCCCGTGTGGAAGCCAAAAGTGGAGCTTTTTCCCCCAGCCTTGGCAGTAAGTAATAATTCCTCATCGCCATGGTAACCCTGGCGCGCTTCCAGCCGACACTCAGGAGCTCAAATACTGTGAGGCCTTTTTATAGCTCGGCTGGAAAACCTCTCCACTGTGCACTCGGGCAGGCGGGCGCCCCAGCTGCCTCCTCCTCCTTAACCATTTCCTCCCAGCCCTGCCCCACCCCCGATCCTCCAGGCTCAGAGGAACCTGCACACCCGTGGGCCCGCTCACCTCCACATCCCACCTGAAGTCACCTGGGTCAGGCGCTCAAGTGAGGAAAGAACTTGCTGCTTGCCCAGGTGCACGCACGCACGTGTGACGTCCTCGCGTGAGCACACATGAAAGCACATGCAGGCATGTGTGCGGGCATGTGTGTGCCCTTGCAGGCACACGTGCACATGCGGCCCATGTGAATGCACAGCAGGGGGTGCACAGGCATGAAAGTACACACGACGCGTGGGCACGCACACACGCACATGTATGCAGATACATGTACACACGACATGCACACACAGTGTGCCAGGGTCCAGGACAGGGGTGGGGGCTGACAGGGCAAGGGGCTCCTGGCAGAAGCTGCCCCACAGCAGGACAGGTCTCCAAGTCACTGGGGCAGGCACTGCACCTGGCAGGAGACCCTAGTGGCGCCGACAGTGCGCACACTCCTCTGCTCACCGGAAGGTCAGTGGTTCGAGTCCGCTCAGAGGCGTCTCACAAGAAAGGCCTGGCAATCTGCTTCCAAACACATGGCCGCTAAAACCCTGCTGGTTTCTGTGCCCGGTGCTACCCTGCGCTGGGGCCCTCTGGGGTCAGTCTGCAGAGACAGCAACGGGCTCAGAGAGGGCAAGTGGCTTGCCCACGGCTGCACAGGGGGAAGCTGAGGGGAGGGAGGTGACGCAGGAAGGCCTGCCACCCGGGAGGAGCCTGAGAGAGGGCGTTCACGAGGGTTCTGGGCGGACCAGATCTGCACGAATCCATGGCACGGGCAAGCTGGGGCCCGAGGGCCTCTGCAACCCAGAGGCAGTTAGTTGCCCAGTCTCCTCCATGTTTCCCTCAGGCTGTTCTGAGGCTTCCCCAGACCGCCCACCAAAGGTGGGCGTCTTCCCACTCCAAAGCCTTCACTTGCCCGGGAAACTTCGGCACAGAAAGCTCGGGGCAGCGGGAACAGCCTGCGCGGTAGCCTCCCGCCTGCTCTCTCACCACAGCACTTGGCCCGGAGGGCGACGGGCAGCTCCAGCCGCTGACAGCACAGGGCCAGAGGGCTCGCGCCCCCCCACCCCGCCGCTGGGGCCCCTCTGCGGTCACAGGTCATGAAGATGCGAGGGCACTGAGAGCAAGCAGCGTCACACGGGCACCTTCAGACTGGATAAGCCCCCAAAGCAGACTTGACGCTGAAGGCAGCTGGTGTGTGGCTGTCCACTTGTGACGGCAGCGGCCACAGGGCAGGCATCCTCCCTCGCAGTTCCGGGGTCTGTGAGGGCACACTTCCCCACGAGGCCTTGAGAGGATTCTTCCAGGTGGCCACTACCCCCCTCTTCCTGGGTGTCTCTCTCTTCTTTCATAAGGACACCCCGCAGACGGATGTAGGAATCTCGCCTCTCCCAACAGCACCCACACACATCTTCAATTTAACAGAGCACATCTTCAGAGACCCCACTCCCAAACAGGGCCCCGATATAGGCCCCCCTTGGAAGCAGGAGGAGGAGGAGGAGGAACACTCAAAGACGTACGGAACCGTGAGTCCGAAGGGTGATGAGCCATGAACACCAGTCTCCACATCCCTGAGACCAAAAGGAACCCATGGTGCGAGCGATCACCCCCAACTGCTCCCGCAGGGATCACAGCAGAATGCCTCACAGAGGGAAAAGGTGCAATAAAACTCGAGATCATTTTTTATAATTTAGGGGGAAAAAATTTTTTTTTACCTTTAAAAAGTTTAAAAAGCTCAAAATCGACGTAGAGTGGCGGAACCCCCAAGACTGTCCCTTGGTCGCTGTTCGAGTCTGGACCTGCACCCACCTCTGTAGTTTGGTTGCCAGCCAGACCATAAAGCAGGTCTTTAAGAAGAACAGCAGCACGGGGGCCAGGGGACGCCTTTGAGTGACCCATCCACATCACACGGGCAGCATGACCCCAGGGCAGAAGGACGGGGCCTGGAGGGGCGGCCATGGATGTGTGGGGCTGCTGAAAGTGACACTGGTGGGCTGCTCTGTGGACTTCACCCACCCTCTGACAATAGCCCAGCACCATGGATCCCCAGGACCGCTGCCAGAGAAGCAGTGGAACCACTCTGGGCTGTGTTTGGGTGGGGGTGTAGAGGCCTGGGAAGTAAAGCGTTCTAGAATGATCCGCAGATCCTGGAGCTGCCGGCCTCTTGGTTTGGGCCCTGAGGCACTGCACAGGCAGGAGGCTCACAGCCAGACACCAAGCAAGGGTCTTGTCCAGTGTCCAGGCCTGGCCGGAGGGGACCCCGTTTCCTTCCTGTCCGCAGGCTGGCTTGCTCCTGGCCAGACAGCAAGATGAGCCTGGCCAGGGGGCTATTTTTACCTCTTCCTGGCCCCACCACGTGTACGCTGTGACCTGGAGACAGCCTGCTCTCCGCTCTCCCCCAGAGCCTCCGCTCTCCCACCAGAGAAGGCATTTCTGACCCACACCGCAGCAGCAAGTGGCTGCAAGGATTGTACAGACAACAGCATCCTGCACCCGGCTCCCTCCAGAGTCCACTGACGAATCCCCCCGTCCACGGGCGCTGACCCAGGCATCTGGCACAGCCTGACAATGGCCACTGTTCTGGGGACAAAGCTGGGGTTCCCTGTTCCCAGTGGGGGGGGCGGGGGGGACATGGAAAGGGCTCAGGGAAGGTACCCTGCACCATTGGCTGTGCCCTCCTTGGCAGAGGGTGGCCCAGCAGGAGCGGGTATGCCAAGGGAGCAGGTGACCGAGGCCACGTGAGGGTGGGGGTGGGGGTGGTGCAGGACAGACACAACCCACCCAGGTCTGTCCTCCAGCTGAGGTGGCCAAGTGTCGCCATCCAGGGGCTTCACGCGGCAGCTCTGTGTGCCACGGCGCAGCTGGCATCCTTGCCCGTGAGCATGCCACTCCACCTCGACCTCTTTTGTCACGTGGCCGCCTCCCATGTCTCTTGTTTCTGCTCCTACAAGGTCACTTGTCTGTGGAGTGGGGACCTGAGCCCAAGAGGATTCACCCCCAGGCCCTACTATCCTGTCACATACGCCCTGTGTCCAAACGGAGCCATGAAGGATTCACAGGGCCCACTACAGCACCCAGACCCTCATGGGGTGGGGTCCTATGGTCTCCCTTACATACCAGCGATCACTCAGCCAGCACAGCCCAAGAGCCCAGGCCTCTGCGGTGCCAGCTCCGTGGGGGGTGGGGGGACACAGGCAGCAAGGGGTGTCAAGGGTGTGGAAGACTGCAGTGACGAGTCATCCCAGCTCTGCCCAGCAACCTTGACGGGGCTGAGCCTCCTCAGAGAGACCGGCTGCCCGGGCTGTGCTTGGTTCTAACAGAGGCCGCTCACTCACTCTCACAGCTGCGGGCAGCTAGTGGGGCTGACCGCTCACCCAGGAACCCCTTTGGGCAGCACCACATGGGGGCTGCACAGCACGGGGCGGCCGCTGCTCTGGCCTTGTGGGTGAAGGAGAGGGGACTGGGGAACGCCCCAGGCGCCACCGGGTGGACCAGAGGGAGAGACCAGGGAAGGACAGGCCACAGCAGCACCTTGACTGGACAGTCCCATGGGTGCTGCTACCCCATCTCTCATACAGGGAGACAGGCGGAGGGCAGGGCAGGGTGGGGTCTGCACTGCTACACACACTGGGTCCCAGCTTCAGCAACAGCACCTCCAGGGGGCCCACCTGAAGCCACTGGAAAAGGAAGTGCCAGGCTCTCTGGAGACCACCCCCACACCCTGGAGGCACCCAGATGTTTCAAGTGCATTCTACAGTTTTGCCCAGAGGAGGCTACCCGAAGAAGGCCAGAGGGGCCACCAGGCAAGCTCCTCTCAGGCCCCCCACAAGCCAGCACTGACCTTCCTGCGGCTCAGGGCCGGCACACTGTCCGTGAGCTGAAGTCAGCCTCGGCTGAGTGAGCACTCTCTGCCGCCCTCAGGGCCATGCCGTGTGTCTGTGGTCAGCAGGGAGCCCTGACTCGTCCCCAGGCACCTGCCTGCATCCTTGACCCTATCCCTCTGGACAGTCAATGACCCATAGCAGGGCGATTGATGCCTGACCTTCCCATCACTCTGACCCCAGGGGCTGACGAGGACCTGAGCGCTCCACGACCGGCCAACGTGGCCAACGTGACTGTTGCGACAGACGGGACGGAAAAACAAAAGCCCCAGGACCAGAAGTCTGGGATTCAGGGAGCTGTGCCGCACACCCCCTCTCCTCCCCGGCACCAAATCCCCTCCCGCCACAGTCGGAGCCTTGGCTCCTGCATGACACAGGCGGCTCCTGGGGTGCTCCCGGCCTGTGCACCTGCTGTTCCCTCGCCTGGACGCCCTTCCACAACTGGTCCTGCACGGCCCAGGGCCCAGCTCAAAGGGCACCTCCTCACACGCCACTCTCCTTCCACCTGCAGTAAGCCCAGAGCGGCCACGCC